TACAATTTATGGAAAAATTCTGTGCAAAAAAAAAATTAATTCATTCTGTTAAATACCCATATCAGATTATGGGTTTCTCAGAACGTATTGTTAAAATTCAAATTAGTAAACGTATATTATTGAATGAATTGACCTACCAATTCTTGTCAAATAAATTATTCTGATGAATAGTACTGGCAAAAGTAACCAACTGAAAATGTAATATTAAGAGTTTTCACAATCATCGCGAAGAATGATTATCATATATCTTTCTGTCTGGAATAATTGAATAGATATTGGAGAAAATACAATCGTCGACGTGAGAATGTTTTCTGACGTCTGCCAAACACAATTTGATTAATTCTAATAGGAGAATACGTCCATTGAAATTTTCATTTATATGCCAGGAAAGCTTATTTTTCTGAATCTTCGATCTGTTTCCTATGTTTTATCAAATCTATGAAATTTATCCCAAATTCTTGGTTCAATAGCTTTGCAATTAACGTGATCGATAAGCAAGTTGAACAACAAAATTGTAAATCACACGGTGCAAAATCGGGCTCGAAGCGTTAATAATAAACAATAATTGGGTTTCATTTCTCTCGGAAATTCGATTGTTCGGTATTTTAGTTACAAATCTACCTCGCCAACCCCACCATCTGACGTTATTTCCGTTTCAGCTGCTGATTTAATTCGCTGTTACCAGCAAGATCCAACGTAAGAGTCCATTTCACGAGCACGGAATAATTATCTTCGTTGAAAAATCATACGTAATTACGCGCGTGTTCCTGTCCCCCAAATCAATACGTTCAACTTAGTGTTTTATCGTACAAAGCGTGTAGATAACGAGATACAAGCCCAAAATACTTTTATGAAAATATTTTACGCAGTACATTTTAGAGCAACGTACTTTATAAATATTATATTTGTCGTGAGATTAGGTTTCAAGAACAACATTTCAGTTTAAACCTTGTCTCTTAAGAACTAACATTATTCAATTTTAAATTGGTTAGAATTTTGCAAATTTTTTGTTAATAAGGAATTTAAATGAGTAAAATAGTCCCTTTTATTTTAATTTAACACTATTAATATACAGTTTATACTTTCCATCAGTGATAATTCCTTGAATCCATAACTAACAGATTATTAGATTGAATACAGTTGTTTGTTATTGAATTTCTGTTACTGAACGGAATTAAAACAGAAGATACTTGTTATTTCCGCGGTGGACCAACAACCTTTGACCGGCAAATTGAAATTGTAAGAGAAATATTTAAAACGATGAAAAGGATGCGATGTGGGAAGATAATTATAGGAGAACTGATTTCACAAATTAAATGTAACTTCTGCGGTCTAGAAGCGTTACTTTATTGTTCGATTTGGAGCTTGTCAACAGTTCGAGAGGTTACACGTAACTGACTGTCGCTCGCCGGAATTCGGGATCCGTTACATGTGTTAGGCAACAACCAAAAACGTCCTCTTCGCGCGGAGAGAGGGGGGCTTTGTGTACACCGTACAGTAGCTATGTATACCGGGTACACGAAATACAAATTTAAAAAGACGGTTTACAAGATAAAAAATGGCGAGGACGTTCGATAACGTAGACTCGTTTCTAATTGTTTGAGCAGTTTGCACACTTGCACCAATTCGGATCTAATCTCAAGTTGCAAATACTTTGTTTAACACTAGAATCACCAAACCAGTAAAAATTCATAATTTTTAATAAAACTTGTAAAAAATTGACTCGACTGAATTTTTATAAGAGTAATTTTCTATGAGAGATTATATGTATAAACGCTTATTTCCATTGCATTATGTATTTCTTCGCGTATCTGTCGGTTAAACTTCTTTGGTGCAAATAAACACACTATAATTGTCGGAGGAAATTTAATAAGTAAACCGCGAATAAGAGGTACATCGATATCCACGAACCAACCGCTCCTTTCCGTTTCCTGCTCACTCTCGTGATTAGTATTTTCTTCCGATCGTCTTCCCCAAAGGAGCGGCCGTTTCGCAGAGGTCAATTCCCTGAAGGCCGTCCTTCCGGGACTGGCAGACGCGTGAGAAGAAGGTTGTATGTATCTGCGAGATAACAGGGTCCCCCTTGCGAGTGCCTCGAGCAGGGAAGACGAAACACAGCCGTGGCGACACCGAGGAAGACTTCGTCTGCCCTTGGCTTTTACAGATCCGGAATAGATAAGCCAGATTATCGCGCAGGGATTCCTGTTTGTCTACCGATTTCCCTACTTTCCTATCCGATGCTTGTAACAGAAAGCATCTCGAACGTCTCGCCTAAAAGTAGCCAAAAGATTCGGTGTTTTCCCTCCGAAACAAACACGTTAAAATCGTTCAGTAACGAAACAGAACAGCAATTTCTAAAGTAGAATTCATTAAAAATACAAACCGGTTGGTACGAAAGTATCTAGCCACCGTACAAAATTTGCAATACTTTATCGACTTATTTCTAATTTATTTTACGTTTCGAAATAGTAATCTACAATTTCTGAAACGAAGAAATAATTTCCAAAGAACGGAGTACCACCTCGCGTATAATTCGAACCGGCAAACCGATCTTAATTCACCAGTCGGCTTTAACCGATAATTAATTGGAGTTACTTGTTTCGATTAGATCGATCGTATGTACAATGTTCTTGGTAATTAATTGTACGCGACTTGGGTGTTTGCATGTGTTTCGAGAGTCCGTGTCATAATAACGGGTATGAGCGTCGTTTGTGGTCGTGTGGGCAGGATGGTCGGTGTATAATACGCGATTAAGCGACGGAAAAACATGTAGATTTATAAAAAGTCGATTACAATTGTAAAGGAATTATGCATCTCATTCATTGTTTATGCGATGACGGCGAAGAAAAGTCCGACGAATAGCGCGTCAGGAAATCCGCGTGACGTAAGGGGCCGCGATGGCGAACGGTGGTATTTTCTCGATTTTCCGTTTAACATGCTGCGGCGGCCGCAAGGCCACGGTTAAAAGCCTCATTATCGTCTTCAAATATGAGGCATAGACAAGAGAGAGCCGTAGTAGAGTGCGTCCCTGAGGATTCTGGCTGAATATCGCTAACTTTGTCTCTCCGCAGGCTTGAACTTTCTCGTGTCGAGATACGTTAAAGCCTATCCACACGACCTGGCTTGTTTAGATGTGTTTTAACACTTGAATGCCGCGTCGGTTCACCGTACTCGGGAATGTCCACCATGTTTGAATCGCAACGCGACAAATAGAACTGTTCGACAATTGTACCGGTACCACTGATCTTAACATTCTGATGAGAGTAGCATATTTAATATTAAATAGAAATCAGAAATGTTAAGAGTGCAAATCTTAATAAAAAAGTATAGCTCAAAGTAACCTACCAGAAAGTTAATATGAAAGAGTAGTATAATCTGAGAAAGTTCAGATATCGAACTCGTCGTCTCAAAATTCTTTAACCTCTTCAGGGACGAGTTTTTTCTTCTTTTTTTTTTGTCTATTTATTATTGACAGAAACCATAATTATAAAAAAAAAAAACTAAACGTCCACATATAAGGACGTGAAGAGGTTACAATCACAGAAAATGTTATTATTCCTAAATTTTTAAATATTACATCTGGCTAGAAAGTATACTTATAAGGTGATTATTGTAAATTAGGTTGGTTCGGTCGTCAAGAATTCTGTATTAATGATGTACAGCAGTGGTTCGTAACCTTTTATTTTTGTGAGAAGAGAAATATGTTAAAATTGCTCGGTAACGAAATAGCAGCAGTTTTAAAAATATTAATTTGTAAAGTAGAATTCATAAAAAATACAAGCCGTTGGCACGAAAGTATCTAGCAGTACTTCATCGACTTATTTCTAATTCATTTTACATTTCGAAATAGTACTCTACAATCTCTGGAAATAGTCTTCAATTTCGTGAATAATTGCTATTGAAATGAATGAAATTTTGCGAGATATAATTTAAAATCCGGCACCGAAAATAAAGAATACCAAAAGTCTTCATTTACAATTTTTTATTTTTATCTTGAATATTGAAAGATCAAATCAGATTCTAGTCAATCTAAGTACCAAGATAGTTGACTTTGAGACTCCATATTACATGCTGATTGGCAAATTTAGATCTTCGGAAGATTTGTATGTTTCCCACATTTAATTTAGACATTCAGTTACTGAAATACTCCTATAATTCTTTAAAGTGTTCTTTAAAGTGTAAATCATCAAAGGCTTTTTGTAAATCTAATATAGTACCACGATTATTCTTCTTTTCTCTAAATTATATTTTATAATTTCCGTTATTTTTGTCGTATGTTTGTGGAAATAGTATCAATGAAGTGCCGAGATTTTCCCAAGTAAAATGAGTACAAACACGACATACATCGAAATAATTGCAATAGCACAGTAGTGTCCGTTTAAATGTTAAATGATCGAGACCGGACGTAGACACTTAAACGGACAGATTCGGGAACAATTAACCGGGCATCACTGTAACTTGATGCATATACATAATTTGTATATTCGAATACAACTGATCCGATTTGCATCGTGTTTGGACTCATTTTAATTGGAAAAATCTCAGCAGTCCATTGATACTAGTTTCATAACTAATTTGACGTATATACATAATTTGTATGTTTTACTATAACTGATTAGATTTGCATCGTGTTTGGACTCATTTTAATCGGGAAAACCTCAAGAATCCATTGGTACTAATTTGATAACTAATTTGATAACTAATTTGACGTATATACATAATTTGTATGTTTTACTATAATTGACCCGATTTGCATCGTGTTTGGACTCATTTTAAGCAGGAAAACCTCAGCAGTATATTGGTACTATTTTCATAACTAATTTGACGTATATACATGATTTGTATGTTTCACTATAATTGACCCGATTTGCATCGTGTTTGGACTCATTTTAATCAGTAAAACCTCAAGAATCCATTGGTACTAATTTGATAACTAATTTGACGTATATATATAATTTGTATGTTTTACTATAATTGCTCCGATTTGCATCGTGTTTGGACTCATTTTAATCAGGAAAACCCAGCAATCCATCGGTACTAGTTTCACAAGCCTACGAGAAAATGAACAAAAACCGAAATTTTCGTTATCGCTTGACAATTTCTTTGACTCACGGCGACCCTTTGAAGTCTATCTCTACCTCGCTTTCTGCCATTAGATCTGTTTTCTATCCTTTGGCTAGGGTTAGACGTCGAATCTGCGACCTAGTGGGGTTCGTTTAAACGTACGCTATCAAGTTTCGTTCGATCAAAGCGGGCACCGTTGCTCGAAGTTCCATCGCTAGCAGGAGCGTTCGTAAAGAGTAAGCGCGTGTGGACGGGGCTTTACGCTCGTCTGAGCGTCGTGTCCGTTCCCCTCTCGTCCCTGTAGGATCCCCCACCCCGATGGTCGGCGTCCATCCCTTCAGTGGCTCGGCAGCGCGCGTTCGATACACGGAATCGCCTCGTGGTTCTCGGAAGGCAGTAGACTGTCGTCAGCCACGCCAGACGGCGCACTGCTCGCACACTCACTGCTCTTTCGGAGATACTCGCCCACTGGCTCACCCACGGCTAGCTGTTACCTCGCTGTCGCGACCTCTCTCTCTCCGGCTGCTGGCAGCAGCAGACTCGGCTTAGCGGGCCGCCAGTTACGCAACAATAACAACGCTGTCAGGAGGTGTAGCATGCGCGTGCTGTGCCACCTATACGCCGACGAACGACCCTGGAACGACGAGCTACCGATTCGTCGTCGTCGCCGCCGCCGCTTCTGCTGTTACTGCCACTGCGATCACTTGTTGAAAACCCGGTAGGAGAGCGCACATCCGTTTCGCAACGCACGCCACACGCTACCGACGATACTTCATTTGGTGGGAACAGACTGTGGCGGACGGTAGTGGTGGCGATCAAGGAGGAGCATGGAAAGTGCGTGCAGTGCCGTCGAACGGGAATTATGTTGCAGGAAGAGTGATGAGTTGTAACGGAGTAAACGTGGTGGGAAGCGATTCAGAGTACACGGTGCGGTGCGAGTGGCGCGGATCGACAGCTCGATACGCGACACGCGTCCAGAGATCCGAGCTTATGGACGATCGTGTCGATTCCCTGACGATCAGGCCGACGATGAATGAGCGAGAAATCGTAACGCCACGGTGCAACACAGCTGTCCGCTCGGAGCGCCGTCCCTGTTGGCTCTAGACCCCCGACGATCGCAACGAGGAAACTGATTTCTGCCAGTACGGGGTAAACGAGGAAGAGAAAAAAAGAAGAAGAAACGGAGTAGGATACTTGTTGATGCGAGACCGCCCGAAATACGGTTCCGCGGTGACGTCTTTGTCCAGGGGATCCGCGCGAGAGGAGAGGAGGATCGAGGAAAGAGATCTATCGTTCGGAGCGAGCCACGAGGTGCACGTCCGACAGAAGTACGCGAAGAAGTGGTACGCGAAATACGTCGCGATTAGGCGCCAATGACGTCAGGCAAGAGTCGCGAAGACGCGTAAGAGTCGCAAGGGGAATTCGTTTGTGGAGTTTGCGGTGCGTTTACCGACACGGTTCGAGCGTCGTTGTGTTGGGTGATATTACTGCTGGCAGTAGTAACCGTAGTAGTAACAACACCAGTATCTGTCAGCAGTGTCGGTGATGGTAACGGTTGTGTAGTGGGCTTGGTATCGGTGTTGCCGAACAAGTAGTGGGGCTAAAGGAGACCCCGGTGTGGAATTGCTGCGTGGTCCGTCGTGGTGGCCAATTATATTTTCTACGTGTGTGCTTCGCGGGCAATGACTAACTGCTCGCCGTTAAATGTGTTAGTAGGAGATATCGTCGACGGACCCGTTTCTGCGTTGGTGTTGCCGTCTACGTCAGCACCGGTCGGACGGGATTTGCATAGCAAACAGATTGACGCGCTGGTAAGTGGATAACGAGAGAGGAGTCGCGACTCTGTGTCCCACCACGTACCAAAGAGAAAAAGATAGTGCGTGTGCGTCTCTACGTGTTGGCCGTACGGGCTCCGTAAGAAAAGAAGAAAGAGCGAGTAGAGCCAAGAGACGCAGACGACGGGGCAAGTGTGGAGCTTAAAATAGAAGAGTGACTTCGGCTTAAGTACAAGCCGGGGGGAACGGGCAAATAAAGAGTAACCGGAGAGGGTGTCTCCTTTCCGATTTTCTTCCAAACAAAATGATTATTGTGCTTCTTCTGTGATACGTTTCTATATCCGGCGGTAATCGTGGCCCGTGGTCCGTGATTCGAAAGCAGGCAACACACATATACACACATATATAGTATATACGCATAGGATATAGGTGATAGAGTGAAACGGCGAATGAAAACAAATTTCGAACGGACGGGGATCGGTTATCGCATCGGGAAAATCGGTAGTAAGTGTTTCTGTGATAACAACGTGGTGCAAGCAGGAGGGGGGGTGGAAACGAGCCGCGATTCTCTCCCACCTATATCCCCCCCTCCCCGTCGGTCTGACATCTTTTCATTCTCCGCGGAGACTGCGGATTATTGTAAGAGAGAAGCTTCTGCATCACGGTCTCTCCTACGATGGATCGTGACTCGCGTTCGTATTCTTGCGGAGGCTGCGAGAGGACCGAGGGTCGAGCTATGCCGATGGAGTAACAAGTGAGCGGCGAAGCGGCGTTGCCATGACGACAGGTGAACCATGAGCTACTCCTCTCTCCTCTCTAGTAATCTATCTCTCTTTCTCACCCCCACCACCACTTCACATTTTACCCTTTTTATCCTTTCTTTCCTTTTTATCAATCCTTCTCCCCGACCGTCTCTTTCCCGCGTATGAATTCTTTCCTCTCTCGGAATCTCCTGCTCGCTGTCCCTTTCCATTCTTTCACGCTTCTCCGTTTCCCTCTTGTTTCTCTCCCCCCCACCACCTCGCTACGGGTACGTCTTCGGGCCGATTCTCGCAATTGTGTCCCTCTTCCCGTCTCTGACCTCGTATATTTACAGGATACCGTGCGACAACAGTGTCGTTCGTCTTTTAACTTCCCGCCATAAACCGCATTTATCTACCTGTCTCCGCTCCCCGGCCGCCCTTACTCCCCTCCACAATACATATCTTTTATCTTTCTCCGTATTCGAGCGCTCCGTTTCTTTCTTTTTTCCACGGACGGTCTTCCCTCGTACGTAGCCGATCCCCCCACCACCACCACCTAGAACGAGTCGTGTAATCTCTCGCGCTCGCTCGCACTCGCTCACGCTTGGCGAGAGCGCTCGTTGAACGCCGTTGTAGCATGCTTAACGCGTAGGCCGCACGATATTCCAAGTACGCTTGGCTATTTTCATGCTACACCAGAAAGACACCTAGCGACGCGCCGACCCGAGCCACGCCGAGCCGAGCCGAGCTTGCGGCTGGCTCCGAAACGCCCCGAACGGCGTATAAATCCGAAATCGGACGATCGGACCGACCGGTCGGAATCCCTGGAATTTATTCTCGATTTGTCCCGACCCTCCAGCGCAACGGGCATCCACCGGACCCGCTCACAATTTTTTCTCTCGCCGGTCACCGAAATGCTCGGACACCATCTTGACGTTACATCTTAACGCACTCCGATTCCGGGAGATCCGTGCTCCGAACGTACGCTACCAGTTCTAAGCTACCACGGTTGATCGAAGTCGATGTTTGGGACTGTTGGCTCCGGAATGAGAATTGGATAGATGAAAACCACTCGCATATTCTATCCATTTGCTCTGACTGTAATGTAATAATTGTTATGGAGAATTGTTTCTCCAGAAGGTTATTTTTTTGAGACAATTTTTACAAAATGAAAAGAGATATTGTTAGGTTTCTAAGAAAATATTTAAGACTCTGTGGAAGAAAACACAATCTTTCTGAGGTCTGGGTTAACCACTCCCACATTTTATCCATTTTCTCTGACTGTAACATAATAATTGCTATAGAATTTCTCCACAATTTTATTTCTTTCTAAAATCCAAATTTCTTTCCAAAATAATGTGAAATAATTGCTAATAATCAAACTTTAAAATTTTCAAACTGTGGAAAATACACAATCTTCGAAGGTTAGGTCTGGGTTAACCACTCCCACATTTTACTCATTTTCTCTGACTGTAACATAATAATTGCTATAGAATTTCTCCACAACTTTATTTTCTTAAAACAACTTCCACAAAAAGAAAATAGACAACTAAGTTTCTAAGAAAATCCAAATTTCTGTCTAAAATAGTGTGAAATAATTGCTAATAATCAAACTTTGAAACTCAGTGGAAAAAGACAATCTTCCTATAGTCTGGGTTAGGTCTATCCAAAATAGTGTAAAATAATTGCTAATAACCAATATTTTAAAACTCAGTGGAAAAACACAATTTTCCTGGAATCATTTTGAAGGTTGAAAAATTAGGAAAATTAGCTACGTTATTAAAGCAACCATTTTGAAGATTGAAACCTTTTACAACGACCCTCTAAAAAATTTATTTATCTCCAATGGGGGAACTGAAGTACCCAACAACCAATAAGTATCAAAACTTATATTTCTACAAAATGAGATTTTTGTCTTTATTTTCTGATTTGTATGAAAGTAATCAACTTCTAAATCATGTTCCAAAGGAACTGCGAGTTTTATTAGATCAAACGATGTGGTCAATCCTTCGTAAGGTCTGCCACTAAATGTAAGCAAAATGAAGGAGGATCTACTAAAAATTTAATTTATTAATAAATTTAAAAAAAATTTATATAATTATTAATCTATAATTTATTTTTTTTTCTATAATATAACTAAGATATTTATATGTAATAGAGTAAATATGCAACATTTTTTACTATTATTCCTTGCAGGATAAATGCCCCATGCGTATTCCAATACAGATGTTCCTCATTCAAAGTGGAATAAAACATCAACTTATAAGGTCGTCTAGAAAGGTTTCAATCTTTAAATTCATGGTGGTTTTAATTGCTCCAAAAATGTGAAAAACTTTCCTCGTGGGTGTATAATTATTTACATAAAAAAAATGTTTGTTATAAATAAATAGTTTCTCGTTAATTTTTTCCCCAATTAGAGGCCCCCAGTATTTTTAGTAATCGTTGAAAAGGGTCATGGAATTTTCATTTGTTTCGACTCTTTGTTACGCGAAATATGTAACATTACACGTGTAAACATTCATTTGCCGTGAGAGGCGAGATGCAAGAAAATAAAGTGTGCACGGAGACGAGGTGTAGCCGAAGTGCTATTTCTAAACTCAACCTCAGGATCGTAAATTTCTTCGACGTTTCATATTGCAGAGTCGCGATGTTATGTTCGCCAATTGTTTCCTACCGATGCAACGCATTCAACGCGAGAAACAATTCTGTTGTTGGTGATATGGCAATAATAAAAACGTGCACAAAATTTCAATTCACCCCAACATTGAAGTATGAATTTTGGAGCAGAAACGTTTATCAAGTTCTTGCTTATTACCCATTGCTAATATACACATATCATTATTATTAGAAACTGTGACACAATGGAAAATTTTTAAGAATTCCAGAAATTTTCTGCGATTAAAACATTAATCATCGCGTTGTTTGTATCCTGTATGTCTTATGTAAAACACAGTAGCTATGGGTCAGTCATAAATTCGGAGCAGGTTTCCTATACGGAACGAATTTTCTCTTTACTCCTATTTCTTCCTGGTGGCAACCATAAGAACGCAAAGATCTCGATTCAAATACTTAATTCGAGCATCAAAATTTATTTAAAACTCCAATGTTTACCTAGTATCAATAAATTGATAACTCCTCACTCGACATTGCATAAAAAATTTAGTCAATCTTATCGATTGTTTTTGCCCATTTCTGGCTTTAAACAGATACAGATGCACGAAAATTCTTCGTTTGCTCGTGATCGATAGTATCTGAAAGCTGTGCAAAATTTACTTCAAATTGTATCGTTAATTGTCGCTTCATATATTTATTGTTATTTGTGGAAATAATACTTGAAAATTTGTTTCTCAAATAATAGTCAGAATGAGTAAGATGTAACAGTGTGTTGCTAATGTATCAATATCTTATTGTAATAAACTCTAAGTGAAAACATAATAAAACTGTACATTAGAAAATTTGCTTTAGCTTTTAACAAAATTCGTTCTTTTTTAGTCATCGAAATTTCGGGAGTATCAGCAAGAAATAATAATAATATAAATGCTATATATTAAAAAATCAATTATGATGACTAATTAATAAGCAACAAGTAATTTGCTTCCTAGTGTCGAGTAAACCACTCAATTGCAAATAGATTTATCTGCTTTTCGTACGAAATACTTTGCAGTATTGTTTCAAAAATAGATTATTTCTTAAGTAGCCCAGTAATTTAAGTAAACCACTCAATTGCAAATAGATTTATCTGCTTTTCGTACGAAATACTTTGCAGTATCGTTTCAAAAATAGATTATTTCTTAAGTAGCCCAGTAATTTAAGTAAACCACTCAATTGCAAATAGATTTATCTACTTTTCGTACGAAATACTTTGCAGTATTGTTTCAAAAATAGATTATTTCTTAAGTAGCCCGGTAATTAAAAAATTTGATTTGAAATTGCGGAAAATTAGAAGCGCAACGATACGTCGACGGTTGTACATCGAGGCCCCAATCGTCGAGAGTCGCATGTTCGCGGAAACGGAGAACAAAAGAAAAGCATTCTTCGAGAAGTCCCAACGCGATAAATCTTGTATACGTAGTGGAAGGCAGAGGAGTTTCCCCAAGTTCCATTACGTCGACGCAAATACACGTGTCATAGATCTTCTAAGAACAAATTCCATCCGGTATTTATAGGTTCGTGAAGCAGAAGAAATTTTTCTGTTCCAAGTTCCACGGCGCGTTTCAGCGCACGGATTATTCCTATCGAAGAAACGGGGCAAAGAAAGTCGATTAAAGTCGCGATACTGTTTCTTCACGATAATTCTGAATGAATGCGATTTGTTGACGGATTGTTCATTGAGTACCGGGAACGCGCGCGCATTGCGTGCACGAAATTCCACGCGATCTTTTTTTGCCCCGACGATCTATTAAAGGAATTCGATTAATGCGTTCCGATAATTGTCCATAGTTGCGCGAAACCGAGAGAATTCTCGTTAATGATTAGCAACTTCCGCGAAGTAGCGCCGTTGTTTTCGACGTGACGCGATCAACGGGAAGAAGTTTCGGAAAATCGTTCGCGGAAATTCGTGCGACAGCTGCGAAACGTCGAGATAAGAGTGTGTACTAGGAGGATTTCACGTATCGTCGCCTGTTTCAAGGAGCGTCGCTTTCACGGAATATTGTACAACGTAAATAGTCGAAAATTACACCTCCATTCGCCGCTGAACTCCAAAATCTAAACGAACATGCAAGAATTTTCATTTTAAATTGACAAACATTCTCAAGTGCGTTTAGACCAATTTTATAGAGCTGATTGCATAACATAGGAAAATTAAAAAATATTTTATACTTCTAGACATTTTTATTTATTTTTTAATTTAAAAACATTTGAAATTTAATGATAGAGATTTTATATAAATTATATCGATGGTTGTAGGGGAATGAAAATTTCAGTATAGAAGCTCTGCTAATTTTCCAAGACTTTTTTTAGCTGACAGTATCCTGTACTAATTTTAATTTTAAGTAAAGTGACATTCTCAAACATACAACGTAGACATTTCTAAACTCGAAAA